ATAGCTTCTACATGATCCAGGGCAAGAGAAATGGCATACAACTTGGCAAGGAACACAGAAACTGTATAGGGGATCCTGTGAGCAACCACTGAGCCACGACAAACCATGGCAGAGCCTACAGAGTCACCTGATATCAAACCATCCATGTAAATGGAAATAGAAGGATGGTTTGAAAGATGTTTAGTAAAGAGAAGATGATACTTCCAATCAGGAGTATCCACCTTCCCCTGATGACTCAAAGAAAGATCACATTTGGGGATGGTAAAATGCCATGGTGGAATGGGCTGATCATTGGGAATAGCAACATTATCCAATGCCAAACCAAATTCTTCCAGTTGTGCCTGGATACGAAAGGCAAAACAAGGAATTGCAAACCATCTATTCTGAAAGAGTATGACCTACAGAGAAAGAAAGACACAACCCTAGGTGGGATGCTGTGGTAAGGATCAAAGCTTGGTAGTATACTGGCTGCAAACAGCAGTAGGTGAAGAGGAGGTTTGTGGGACTCAGTGTATAAACTCTGGACTGGAGAAGTGCAGAAAGCTCCTGTGCAGAGCTGAAGCCCTAGATGGTGAATGGGGTCCAGCATCTTCAAGGCTAAGGTCCTGGCAGAACCATAAACCAGAGACCCATAGTCCAGTGTAGGCCTGCTGGTGAAAAAATGTATACATGTAGTTTTGAAAAAAGAAAAGGTAAACTGTTTGCTGTGGTCCACTTCAACAAGAGATTGAGGGCAGTCTGAAGTTGTCACTCAATAAACCTCATGTTTGACAACCGACATGAGATGTGGAAGTCGTTGACATATTGCCCGTTTCCAACAGTAGGAGGAAGTTGTGTAGTGATAGCATTAATCTTGATACTGAAAAGTGTGACACACAAGACACTGCTTTGAGTGACGCCAAGTTCCTGTGTAAAAGAAGGGAAAAAAGTCGAACCCCCACAGACTTGAAATCACCTGTCCAGTAAAAAGTTCTGAATAAAAATGGGTAAATGGCCATGCAACCCATATGGGGTACCGCAAAATGCTATACCTCCACATGGTATCATAAGCCTTCTCAAGGTCAAAGAACATGGAAACAAGATGTTCTCTCTTGAGGAAGGCTTACCTGATGGAGGTTTCAAGTCGAATCAGGTGGTCCAAGGTGGAGCATTGTCAACAGAAACCACACTAGGTGGGCAAAAGGAGGTTGTTTGTTTTGAGGAACCAAACAAGACAAGCATTAACCATCCTCTCTAGGACCTTACAGAGACAGCTAGTCAAAACAATTGGAGGATAATTAGAAAGAATTTAGGATCCTTCCCAGGTTTAGAGAAAGGAAGTACAATAGCCTGGTGCCAAGTATCAGGAAAAACATTCTCCTGCCAAATTTAAAAACAACCAGAAGAATAGCAAGAGAGGCAGGAGAAAGATGGCACAGAATCTCATAGTGAACATCATCAGGTTCAACAGATGAACTGCCAGACCAATGAAGAGCAAGTTTTGAGTTCCACCAGTGTAAGGGGAAGATTATAGTTATTGAGACAATTGGCCTGAAAGGAAAGAGGCAATTTCTCTGCCCGAGACTTGATGGCCAAGAAGGCAGTGGAAGAAACAGAAGTGCTGGATGCACGAGAAAAGCTCTCACCAAGAGTATGGGTGATGTTCTGCACATCAGCAACTTCCTGGCCACTGGAGAGCAAGATGAAAAGGGGATGGGAAGAATACCTTCCAAATCTTAACCTATATGACTTTGGAACTGGCAGTAGAAGAGATGCTAGTTATGAACTTAATTCAAGATCCTTTTTGGCTTAGGCATCTGACCTGCCAAGAATGGGCATGGGTCAGCTGGAAAGTGATGCAGTTGGAAAGAGTGGGATACCTGCGAACAGTATCCCAGGCCCGTTTTTGAGCTTTCCGTGTCTGCTGACAGGTTGGAGTTGCTTGAATGAAGCAATCAATTACTGCCTCCATGCAGTCATTAATAGATGGAAGATTAACAACAGCAGGATCAAGTTCCAAGAGAGAGAGTTCAAAGAGAGCCAGTCGGCCTGGTCTAACTTCCACCGTGGCTAACAGCATGAATTACTTATGTCACCAAGCTTTTCAAACTCTATGGATATGTGTGTGGTACTAACTTTACCTGATAAATTCAACTGGTTGTTAACTTAAGATGCTTTTAGTGGCTACCATTAGATAAACTACAATGCTAAAGTTACAGAGATGCATTGTGAGATCATACATGGACAACTGGTAAACTTGTATTACAGGCCTACTAACATTGAGACAGATACATATGTGTAATATATGGTTTATGATAACACTTTTATAAGTCACAGCTGAATACCAAACATTTTAACCCAAGTTAAATGTTTAACTGAATATGGATGCATTGCCTGACCCCATATTGAAGAAAGAATGTTGACTGTAAATCCAAATTTACTATTTGTATTTACATGACATGTGGCAAACTTTTAGTAAAATGTACAAGTTTTTTTGTACACAAAAAGTTAGATGTGTTCCAAAAGTAATTGTATTCAAGATATGTCTGTGAATTGATGAAGTAAGCCTGAATCACACTCTGACAAGTTCAAGTGCAAGATGATGTTCATGTGAAGTGTAGAAATACTTTTGACTATCATACAGTTTGGACATTGTATTTGCATATCCTCTAGAACCTCCAAAATGTACATATCTTTTTTCCGTATCCCTGCACACGATATCTGGTATTTAGTGTTCTCTACCACAAACTGTTGCTAAATTGATAACTTAGGTTAAAATGAGCAGTTGATAACTCTAACAGCAAATACATAATACCATTTTGAATAGCACTCTGTAAGATGTCATGGCATGTTCACTTTGACCCACACAATTGCACAGAAGGTTAGTGTATATTAATATAAAAGATTACAATCTTAATTAATTCATGCTTAAAGTTTAGCTTGATGTATACATGTTTATAATCAAGTTAAAACCATTATCTGATAAGCTTACTCAACTAGAGGTCTAAATGTGTGTGTGACATTTGTGGTGGTAAATTGTCAAATTTTCCTAAGTTAATGTATTATAACCATTAATTTTGGCCTATAAAATATACTGCATGTGAATTCATGTCTTGTGGTATATGTTTACATTACTTACATAGTTATACAATAACTCAAAGCATTTTGTGATAAGTTTCTTGCATATATAGTTCTACACTGTCTTACACCTTTGCTTTGGAAATGAAACAGTTTTACAGGGAATCTGCAGTGTCTCTATCAAAATTTTTAATGCTCAAACCAAATTAATTTACTAATTGATAGATATATAAATGTAAGTTTTAGTTATAATTCTTGGCTTCAATTGCTTAATTCTGACATTAAAAAGTTTCATTAATTCATTGAGTTTACAATAAATCAAACCATGTAACCTAGGCTGAATGCCTGCCATTATATTTTAATTGTTCACTGTATACCCAATAGCTGTACTGAGTTTACAGCAACCAAAAGTTTCCCTTAGTAATGAATAAGAAAAATCAGGATCTGTAAAATAGCTTAAAAATGGTAAGGCTTCACAACAGTATTAATTTTTAACAGTTTCATACCCAGAATATGATACATATTCTTAGGTTATACTGTATCTTATTTTAATTCTTAATATAAAAATATTTCACAGGTTCAAGTATTATATGTTCTTTATACTAAAGTTGAAGTTGTCCATCTTTTTCAAAGAAATGTATTCCCTCAACCTTTCACAACTTTATTTGATCTACATTTTATACACAAAAGTATATATATATGCTTTTGTGTGTGTGTGTGTGTGTGTGTGTGTGTGTGTGTGTGCAAAAACTACAACAAAAAATCCCAATTTTGTATTTCCTCTTCAGTTTTGTTCCTGAAGTATTCTATTGAGAAAATAACATTTTTTATCTTAAAAATAATATTGTTATCTGCAAATTTTTTACACATGGTTGTGAAATCTAATTTGACTTTCTCGATTTCAGGCATGACAATTTCTAATTTTGTACTAAAACAATCTCTTAAATGTAAATGCATGATCCAGATTGTATGCACCAAGTGATGCACTGGTGTTGCTCTACTGTTATTTCCTTAGCCACAGACACTCTACAGTATAGGTCAAGGTCACAATGACACCAACAGTAAGGCTTCATGGACTTGCACCTCATTTAAGATAAATATATAGGGCCATTTTCATTATAGTTGCTGTTCAAATTATGTAGTAAAAAAGTATGCAAAAGTCCCAGCCTACAACAATAATATTAATTATCATAAGTCCTGTGTATTATCTAAAATTTAAAAGATATGTTACATAACATAAATCATAAACACAAGGTTTAAAACCATTTTTTCTGTAATTAATTACAAAAAGAAGCATGAAGTAAAAATTCAGCAATATGTGACTGTGAAAGCATTAGACCAAAGTTCAATAATTATACTTGGATCTTACTAAATACTGTCACTGACTAACCATAAGGAATCATCAAGAACCGTCAATATAAAAGCAAAACATATACAATAATTATTATACATTTCCTTTACTGTTTATGTTATCCTTACAAATTTACACTTACAGCTTCTTGAGGCTTGGCGTATGATTATGAATCTCACCAAAGCTGGGATGGCACACACAACTGGGGCTAATACTAATAGTAACACACAAAAGCAATTTGTAAACTAATTTTATTTTTAAACAAAAAATCAATAAAATCATATTAGGTTTTTTTGTTTTTATTTAGTTTTACAATTTGACACTGTCGTACTCGTACTTGGCCTGATATCTATAATAGTAATATTACTGATATCATGCCAAGTACGAGTATTACTATTAGTATTAGGCTAGAGATATCTTCTTTTGAATATATTCTGATCATTCACAATAATTTTTTATCTGAGTTGTGATGTAATTAGGCCCAACAATATATCAGAAACAGTCGGTAACAAAAACTGTCTTTGACTGAGTCTGACTCTTTGGATGACGATTTGATCCAATTTGTTTCAGTTTCAGTCGATAATAAACTTACCATTGTCTTACAAGCCTTTTGTACGCTTGCTTTATTTCCTGTACAGAAGCTGAGGATTTTACGCCCAAAGTTTTATATGGATCTCTCAAACCTTGAACTACTAGAATTATTGAAATAATAAATATCAGAAACTCATTACTACATTGAAATTTCAGGTCATGCATGTTTAATGAACAGCCGATCACTCCTCCTTAATACCAATAACGATACTGGATCTTGTTTCCTATTTTCCTAAATTAAACCACTATATGTTAGCCATCTGGTGGCACAATAGTTATTATATATATATATATGTCAGAAAAATACGTAGGTTGAAGAAGTCTTGATACAAGATGATAAAAAATGATCATTATATATATATATATAAATTATTTTCACAACTCTCAGCCAAACTTTTGTACTTCTATTAACACAAGAAATATAACAAAAAACTCTCATTGTAAAATATATAATATATAAACCCTTGATGTTGGTTTGCAATTAACATATCTGCTAAAAGTTTAGTTTTTCAGTGGATCGAGACACTACGAATCTCGACGTATCGTTCATTAATCATTGTCAGAAGAATTCAATAGGTCAAAACGCCATTTCCTGATAAAAACTCAAAATTGGTAAAGACCAAGAGACTAAAGAAAAGAGAGTTAGCCAATTCCTCAACATTACAGCCAACTTATGGCAAAGTAAGAAACACAATATTGTTACCTATCTGGTCGTTTGTTAATTTCCCGTATAATATCTTTCGGATGAAACTTTAGCGAATCAAGTCCTTTCTTAAATAAAACTAGTTTATTCTGTCTCAATACAACTTTTGCAATACACTTAATTTCCACACTCATTTCAACTTCAACACACGCTATAATTCACAACGATTCAAGCACTTTACTTACGGTAACTACAGCGCTTGACTCAATTGTCCGTCTCTATCTCTGCCTGTCTGCAATTCAATTCCGATTAATTATCTCGCTTTATTTGCCTGCTTATATACTGAAATAGAGGGCGCGTAAAAAGACTAGAGTTGCCAGGAAGAAACATGATCCTTCTAGAAACTCCAGCGCACATGCTTCCAGCGTCGCGTGACTTCCGCTGTCGTAACACTGTCCTTTCCTTAGTATTGTTCGTCGCGAACAATAGCCACTTACATTAAACCAATAGATAATTAACAATAACTTAATTAAATGTATAGAATTTACAAACACAAAACTAAAATTCAACAAAGTCTCTTAATTTTACAGGACGTATCTTCTTCCGTACTGGTCTCTTTCTCGTTGGCTTCTGCTTTACGTGGGGTTCATCTGCTCCATCAGGAAATGTCCTATTATCGGTAACAGTCACATCAGTGGTAGTAACTTCATCAAGGGCTTCACTGTTTCCCTTCTCAAAACCGGGTAGAGTTTCTTCTTCGACAGTGGCTTTTTCAGGTTACACATCTTCAGCAGCGTCATTTATTCTGTTATTCACTTCATTCCAACTGAAATGTCATGGACCATTATAATGCCAAAACCTGTTGGCATGCACCACCTTTGGCTTACCTCGCCGACCACATTTTATTCGGAAAGTAACGTCTGAGAGACGATCCACTATGTCATATGGGCCTTCCCATGGAGAAGAC